TGGGAGTCTGCTACTCAAGATGCAGAAACCCTCAGACCCAGCCACGCAGAAACTGCATACTGCCATCAAGTCGGCCTTCAGCGGCAAAGCCGAAGTGGCTATGCTGGAAGACACGGTGCAAGTGGAAATCCGCGACCTAGACCTAATGACCACCTGCGAGGAGGTTCTACAGGCAGTCTACGCTGAGGAGGAGTGCGACATCCCGGCGGGCGCTGCACCTAGGATGCGGAAGGCGTATGGCGGAACCCAAACGGCGACGGTCCACCTCAGACCTGAGCATGCGCAGCGGATCCTCGACAAGGGGAAAATCAGGGTTGGATGGGTAGTCTGCCGCATAAGACAGAAAGTGGAGCCTAGGCGATGCTACAAATGCATGGGATTAGGCCACATGTCAGCCAGATGTCCAGCGTCAGAGGCAACAGCCAAAAACACGCAGCAATCCTGCTTCAGATGTGGCAAGGATGGCCACAAGTATAAAACTTGTACCCAGGGCAAACCAAAATGCATCATCTGCACAAGAAGCGGAAAATCTGGAGGAGAGGCCGAACACTCGACCCTCAGCAGTGCGTGCCCTGAATACCGGAGAGCCATGCACGATAAATTGAATGGTTAAGGTCCTACAGCTGAACCTTAACCACTGCAGAGCGGCGCAGGACTTGCTAGCAAAGACGGTCATCGAGCAGCAGGCTGAGGTGGCAATACTCAGCGAGCCCTACAAGGACAAGCACGAAGGCGTATGGCAACGCAGTTCGGACGGCAGAGCAGCAATATGGAGCTGCGGGCAGCCCCCTGGACACCTATCGCAAAGGGCTTCCAGGACGGGATACACCAGAGCGAAGATCAAAGGCATCACATTCTACAGCTGCTACATAGCCCCGAGCGCACACATTAGCGAATTCAGAACAATAATGCAGGAGATCGCTGATGACGCACGCGGTAGGTCCCCTATCCTCATCGCAGGTGATTTCAACGCATGGTCCACAACATGGGGCAGCGCTAGTACGACGCAGCGGGGAACCATCCTCCTTGAGGCAGTGGCTTCGTTAAACGTATGCCTACTCAATGAAGGTAATAGACCAACCTTCAGCAAGTCAGGTCGGGAGTCAATCATCGACCTGACCTTCGCTAGCCCTGAACTGGCACGCAACTGTGTATGGAGGGTGTCAGACATATACACCCACAGCGACCACGCCCTGATCATCACCCAGACAAGCCCCAGACTGACCGCCCCAAGCAGCCGCCAAACGACATACAAAGCACATACCCTGAACACAGTGTCCCTCCTAGCACACATGGAAGGCGTCTGCGTTACAGGAGACGCTAACACATGCGCGAGGAACATAGCCGAGAGAGTGAAGGATGCGTGCGACGCATCTATGGAGAAGGCCACGAAAGGTGGTAACGGGCGAAGACCAGTACCATGGTGGAATGACGAAATAGGGAGCGCGAGGAGAGACTGCCTAGCGGCCCGGCGCAGGTGTCAGAGAAGCAGAGTACGCGGAAGCCAGGAGGTAAGGGAATCAACCTACAGAGCTAAGAGAAAGGTGCTGAAGAACGCGATTAAAGCTAGCAAGGCCAGATGCTTCCAGGAGCTGTGCGAAGCGGCGGATGCAGAGCCATTCGGGTCAGCATACAGGATGGTCATGGGTAAGCTCAACAGACAGCCGACCCCTACCGGCCATGTACAGCTTGGCCAAATAGTGTCCACCCTGTTCCCCACCCAGCCGCCCCTTACCTGGCAAGCTACCGGGGAAGGCGATACTGTTCTCACCAGCGAAGCCGAAGTCCTGGCTGCGCTAACGAAAACCAAAGTCGAAAAAGCCCCCGGCCCCGACGGCATTCCCAATGCTGCACTGCACACATTGGTGGCAAACTTCCCTGGTATATTCACGGAGATGTACAACATGTGTCTCACCCAACGAACCTTCCCCATAGGTTGGAAGCGACAAAGGTTGGTGCTTATCCCAAAACCGGGCAAGTTGAACGACGACGCATCCTCGTACAGACCCCTATGTATGCTGAATACAACGGGGAAAATATTCGAGCGCATAATCTGCACCCACCTCGAAAAAGAACTCGACCAACTCAGAGCGTTATCGGACCACCAGTTTGGCTTCCGGAGAAAAAGAAGCACTATTGACGCGATCCAAACGGTCACCCAACTGGCTGCTAACGCAATCGAAGGAGAAAGGTGGCTAGGTGGCTCAAAAGAGTACTGCCTCGTCTGCACCCTGGACGTCAAGAATGCCTTCAACTCTGCCAACTGGAACCTTGTCCTGCAGGCACTTCAGCACATGGGAATCTCGAACTACCTGATCGAGCTCGTAGCGGACTACTTTAAGGACAGAGTGCTCACATATTCCTCTGATGCCGGAGAGCACGAGTACCTGGTGACAGGAGGAGTACCTCAAGGCTCAGTCCTGGGCCCGATACTGTGGAACGTCATGTACGACGGGATCCTAAGGCAGGTACTACCCGAAGGATGCACAGTTGTGGGATTTGCGGACGACATAGCGCTGGTAACGGTAGCGAAAACCCTCGATGAGATCACGGATAGATGCAGCCTCTCGATAGACACCCTTATGTGCTGGCTCACAGACAACGGGTTAGCAGTCGCCGAGCACAAAACGGAGGCAGTGCTCATAAGCAGCAGGAAGACTGTGGAGAAGGCCACAATACGAGTCGGATCAACTCTAATAGAAACAAGCGCCTCAATCAAGTATCTTGGAGTACTGATCGACCACAGGTTATCGTTTAAGACGCACCTATCGTATGCCGCAGCCAAAGCATCCAGATCGACTGCAGCCATATCAAGGATGATGGCCAATACTCGAGGACCAAAGCAGCACAGCAGAAGGATTATAGCGACAGTGGTGACATCTATCATAATGTACGCCGCGCCCATATGGGCCGAGGCTATGAAGACCGCATCATACAGCCGCCAGTGCAAAGCTGTCTACAGACGCTGCGCACTGCGCATCACAAGCAGCTTCTGCACGGTATCTGAGGAAGCCGCGCTAGTGGTAGCCGGTACTATACCGATAGACCTGCTGGCGGCAGAACGAAGAACTGGGAGCAGAGGAAGCAGGACCCAACGCGGTAACACGATCGAGGCATGGCAAATGAGGTGGAACAATGCGACCACAGGGCGGTGGACGCACAGGCTAATTCCCAGTCTAACCCCCTGGCTGCAGAGACGACACGGACAGGTAGACTTCTACCTCACGCAGATGATCTCCGGGCACGGATGCTTTAAGGAATACCTGCATAGGTTTAAGCACGAGCCAAACCCCTACTGCGACCACTGCGGCACAGGAAGCATCGAAGACGCGGAGCACGCGCTATTCATCTGCCCCCTATACGATAGGAACCGAGCCGAAGCTGAAACGACAACCGTATGTAACCTGACAGCGGACAACGTGATCAGCTGCATGCTGGAAGATCAAAGCAAGTGGGACGCGATAGCCAACATGGCCGCTGGCATCCTGAAGGATCTTAGGCGTCGAGAACGGAGTCGACGCATGGAGTTATAAGGACGAGCGGCAACCTGACCGCCATCCGTCCCGCGAAGTATAGCTTTGCGGCAGTCCCGCGGGATCGGAACTTTTTCTACCTCTTCTCTTCTTCTACCACTTATATTCTTGTATATATTTAAGCTTATTTAATAAAAAAAAAAAAAAAACAGAGTCAAATGGCTGGCCAAGATGCTGAATTGGGCAAGTTGGCGTCCACCACTTCGCTGGGAAACTTCTATCGAGGACAGAAGAAGGACTTCCTGGCGCTGATGCAAAGCTATAGGAGGCATTCGAGTACAGCGTGATCGGTCATTTATTGCTAAGTCCTGGAATTATTATTATAATTGGTCCGAAATATATAAAAAATAAATATTTACAGCGATCTTATGGGTTTTCAATATTTATTTGTTTATAAGATGCAAAAAAGTAAAAGCAAAACTGATTTATATTGATATTACAAACATATCAATCTGATATGAAAGTATGTCAGTTTGATATGAAAGCATATCAGTTTGATATTAAAAAATACCACAATTTGGTCACAGCTTTGATATGTGCGCATATCAATCTGGTATGAAAAATACCAAATTAAAATGTTCGAAAATATCAATTTTATATGTTCGAAAATATGAAAATGATATGGCAACATAAGGGATCAAAATTGATATGCAAAAATACCCGATTCATGACCAGTTTTGGTATTTTATTTTCTCTGTGTAGGTGCTTTTATTGAATTCCTTAACAATATCCCTTCCGACTGAGGGTGGAGTCCACGGCAATTAAGATTGCACCTCCTCGCTTGGACGGTCGATCATGCCTATAAATGGTGAACTTACCAGGAAAAATCTCGGAGTGTAGGATATCCGGTTTTAGCCAGTTCTCAGTGAACACAATAATGTGAGATGCAAAAGAAAGACTATCTGAATTCAACTTAGTTACGCAAGCCTCTGGTATTCTGATAGGAAAGCCTTAAGCTAGTTTTTATTTTTTTGAAGAAGATGCCACGGTAGAAGATGAAGGTGCGACGCTACTGGGAGTCTTTTTTCTACAGGTCTTTTTATTTTACTTGAATTCCTATTTCTCGTTTCGAGTTCCTATAATACCATAAGTGCAGGCCAGAAATCTGCAGAACATATGGTTGGAATGAGCTTGTTTGAAACAGAGACCTTAAAAGAAGAGGTGTTCCTGGCACAGGTAAAAATACATTTTTTCCACGGTAATATTTTTGGCCTTTGTTATACCCGTTACTCGTAGAGTAAAAGGGTATACCAGATTCATCGGAAAGTATGTAACAGGCAGAAGGAATAGTTTCCGACCCTATAAAGGTTGCCACGCCCACTCTAACGCCCACAAACCGCCCAAACCTGTGACGACAACAATTTTCATGCTAGATTAAAAACTGAAATGTATTATCGAAATACCTATCGATTGATAAAAAAAAAATTTTCACGCCCACTCTAACGCCCATAACGCTTAAATCTGTCTACCGCCGGTAGGTGGCGCATTTTAATCTCGCTTTTCTTTTGTTTGTTTTCTTAGCAGAACCACTTTTAGGGGTTTTGGTGCGGCCGATTGTGTTTCTGGCAGAGGCAACTTGTCCCGGTAGAATAGGCTCAGTATTAACTGGTCGACCGCTGCTTCATGATGGAGCTCTGATCGTCACTTCCCGGGGGTTGCGGGGTGTTCTCACTAGGCTGCCTACCACCAGTGGCTTTTTTACGCTTTGGAGAATCATCCAATAGCTTGAGGCTATTAAATTGTGAATCCAGCGCTGAGAGTAAACTATCTCTAGCTACGCCAAAGCTATTAATTACACCCTTTAAGCCACCTTTAGTTTAGCGCATAAAATATCTCATACCGTGCGTAACTTCTATACAAAGGTCACAGCAATATAATAAGTTATGACACTTAGCAGGTCATCAATAGTTCGACCGGTATACCCGGTTCTGATTTTTACAATATCGGCTTGCATGTTTACAGTATTCGTTTGGTGTGGAGTGTGTGAAGCTGGGTAACACCCTAGATTAGGGGACTCACCCGCGAAATTCGCGAAAAAATGGTCCTCTAAGGACCGCGATTTCTTAAGAATTTACGTGGAAAAGGAACTTGGCGGTCGGCCATGTTTCTCTTGTAATTGAATTTTAAAGTTCCCGGATTTGTTACCTCAGAGTTACTTGGAAGTTAGTTCTTGGCTCAAATTTGTTTATAAATTGGGTGAACTAAAGTCAGAACTAGACACAACGGACTTTCCATCCAAGTCAGGGCCACCTTTATGAAAATAATATATTTGATCAACCTCAACCAGTGTGTATAGTTATAAACTTTGAAACTAATTCGCAGACCCTATAAGGCGTTATTTTCAAAAAATTTCGTTTGGTATACCCTAAATTCCTCAATGCGCACCCTATAGGCAGACGAGAGTAGCACCTAAAAAATTTCCATACAAATATGGACCGCCCTAGTGTATATACGCTGGTTTTGACAAAACAAAAGTTAAATATACTCATAATTTGAACTTACTTCTTGTACACTTTGACATCAATGGAAAGGTAATTTAAACGCCGTTTGAATGATACAATACATTTCTTAACCCATTCAATACTTACTGAAAAGGACAAATTTGTGTAAGCATCTACTTTTTAAACTTTTTTTCTCGACTTGAAAACTTCAATTTTTTGATGCAAAAAGTTTCAAAACAAAATCAAAATTTTTCAAAAATCATTTTGCTTATATTTTTTATGATTTTTATACCCGTTACTCGTAGAGTAAAAGGGTATACTAGATTCGTCGAAAAGTATGTAACAGGCAGAAGGAAGCGTTTCCGACCCCATAAAGTATATATATTCTTGATCAGGATCACTAGCCGAGTCGATCTAGCCATGTCCGTCTGTCCGTCTGTCCGTATGAACGCTGAGATCTCGGAAACTATGAGAGTTACAATACTGGGATTAGGCACGCAGATTCCTAAGATTCCTGCGCAGCGCAAGTTTGTTTCAGTACAGTGCCACGCCCACTCTAACGCCCTCAAACCGCCCAAAACTGTGGCTCCTACAGTTTTGATGCTAGATAGAAAATTTTAACTGAAATGTATTGTTCTCATCAATACCTATCGATTGACCCAAAAAAAATTTGCCACTCCCACTCTAACGCCCATAACGCTTAAATCTGTATACCGCCGGTAGGTGGCGCATTTTAATCTCGCCTTGCTACTTGCATATCTCTATTTAGCTGAGTAACGGGTATCTGATAGTCGAGGTAGTCGACTACAGCGTTCTTCCTTGTTTAAAGGTGAAAATGTCTGAAAATGTGTATAAAAAAAGATCAATTTGGCTCAAATTCATGTTTCTAAACATTTTCAAAAAATCATAAAAAATATAAGCAAAATTATGTGTTTTGTCAAAATACTTCAACCCATTTGTATGTGTTACAGCTGTTGGGGAAATGGGATTCGATTATATAAATTCTTTATAATACCCACTGGTATCCTTTTGTAAACAAATATTTAATATGCAAATCCTAAACAGCTTTAACACATTTCCTGCAAAGCGCAAAAGTAAATTTAAATAACATACTAATTCTGTTATTCTCAATTTGAAATTGCATTCCTAAAATGTACATAATTATTATTTGCATTGTGGAATACACACTGTCCGACGAATCTAATGTATTCATAGAGAGCTTGGATTTCTGAAAAACTGCAAAACACTGTGGCAGTTTCAGTGCTAGTTACATTTTTTCGTCAATGCCTATAGATAGACCTAAACATAATATATATACTTTTGTATACTACGCCCACCGCCCAAAATTGTGATGCCCACAGTTTAGATGCTAGTATAAAAACCTTAACTGAAATGTATTGCTCTCATCAATACCTATCGATAGACCCAAAAGCTTGACACGCCCACTTTAACGCCCACAAGCCGCCCACAAACATCAAAAATCGTAAGTATGATCGCGGATATCTCGGAAACTAAAAGATAGAGAATTGGGATTTTATATTTAGATTCCAAACCCTTGTACGCGGGCATGTCTCCATTTCCCTTTGGTCCCTTTAGCTGAGAAACGGGTATCTGATAGTCGAAGTACTCGACTATAGCGTCCTTTCTTGTTTTTATTTTGTGAGCTCTGTATGCTGATCAGTCATGATTACCCATTTTTAACTGAGCCTTAGCATCGTTAAAATATCCAAACGGCAGCTAAGCAAGAGAGGCTTAAAATAATAATTACGTTTAGATAACGAAGTACCCTCAAAAAGACGTTAAGGTTGCACAGTGTCCTTTTCTTATAAACATTTTTAATAACATTGACCTTCTTCGATTAACACAAAAGCTGATTTAGATCCATTAATGTACTTATTGTCTGGATTACAAATGCCATTGCTTATAGCCTTTTTCACATTCGCCTTTAAAATTCGAAAATTTACTTCTCCATAGTCCAAATTACTATATAGAAATATAGGTAGTCGGTTACTAATAATCCATACACTTTGGTCGTCTTCATTATCTACTTTTAAGTCATTTGGAAATTGAATTAGATTCGATCCATTTTCCAGAAGTCTTTCCAGATGTGCTCGAGTGTATGGTTTTGAGGTGTCCCAGCATCCAATATTATCTTGATGAACTTGTGTGAAAAACATAACGCCACTCCTTGTGATTGCAGAAGTAGATGATTGGCTGTTGTATCCCCGATCCCCAATGGAAACGAAATACTTCGCATTTTCTTGATTGTTTGCTTGCCATAGAGATTCATTTAACAAGAGTTCCATCGGTACCATAAACTCCTGTAATCAATATTTATAACATTATGTTGTTTTAACCTGTTTTAGATGTCACTTAATAAATAATATACTCTTAATAAGTCCACAGGTCAACAAAATCTGGAGTTATTCTTGCTGAAAGACTAACGGATACAAAACTGAAAGAACTTGACCTGTAGATTAGTAACCCATATCCTAGAAACTTTCCATCAAGTGGCAGTCTTGAGATAATCGTGGTTAAGGTACCATATTTTCGATTTATTTGCACTTTTTAATATCATCTAAAGCATTTCTAGCCTATAGCCAGAATTTTATACTTTGAACATGTACTTGATATGTAATTCTTTACATTTAAAAACTAAAATTGAAGTGCACTTAAAAGCGTTACAAATAAATCGAATGAAACAGACCTTGCTCATTTCCTTTTTACTTATACATACAACTCACCTTAAAACTTGCCATCGGATGAAAGTAAAGAACGCGTTGCATTATTTTTTCATTGTAAGATATACTCATACCAAATACACCATCCAGCCATTGAAAGTTCAATCCGTAAATATTAAAATCTGATGCAACTGGATCGGGATAAAAATTATAATTTGTTACACGCCAGCTTCGGTTCTTTGAAAGGCTATACACAACAAGCCCAAATCTCCATACATCCGATACAATAGCATGCGCATCGTCGCAATGATCTCCAATATCCACAACAATATTAGAGTGCAGGGAATCTTGTTTGACCTGAGAAGACTCTAAATTGTACCGAACAATCAGTTCGTCTGTTTTAAGATCATATACAACAATCTTTGGCGGACAAATCTGGTTTAAATTGACTGTAGCATTGACAATACCAGAATCAATAAGCCAAATTCGTTGACACCTATCTACAGCTGTACGATACACCGACATCAGCTTTAAGCAGTCGGGATTTTTAGGGTTTCCATGAGCCTCCCAGTTTGGATACGGTCTTATTGCTGGACTTGACTCTGTAGGAGGGAATGGAATGGTACCCAAACTAGCAGGCACACCATCTTTCCAACGGGGTGTTGTCACAAACAGGCGACTTTGATGGACATCAATTCCCAAAGGTAAATTATTTTTCGGTACAAAGTCTCTGTAAATAAAAATATATTAATTCTAAAAGTAACAAATAACCTTATAAATCTTTAAGTCTTATATCTATAACAAAAAATATACCTCATGTATTATTAATAACTCAATAAATTTATAGGAGATAGGAGTCCATGCCTCTGTGAAATCAACAAAGGAGAACGCTTAGTGCAGTGCCTCGACTATCAGAAACCCGTTACTCAACTAAAGGAAGCGCAAGGGAGATGAAGAAATGCATTATGAGATTGCGGAGTTTCACCTAGTGGCCAATACACAGAAAAAAATCCGAACAACACGCGTTTGATATTGTCTCCTCAATTTATAAGGATTTCAGTCAGAGGTTTGCAACGCATCATTTCCGGCCCATAAAGTACATATATTTTTAATCAGCATCAATAGGTGAGGCGATCCGTCTGTCCGTTTCTACGCGGACTAGTCTCTCAGTTTTAAAGCTATCGGACCAAAAGGGAAAATAGATATAGCTTTATTTATTTTTGATCGTATTCTCTCCTATTCCGGTATATAGCCTTTATTTATTATCAATAACTATTAAGAATTGAGAATTAAATTTGATAAAAATCGGACTACTATCACTGTGGACGGCAGTCTACGAAGCGCAATGGGAGAGTGTCCGAAGGTGACCACTGTATATAGCCGCAGAATTGTAAATCAACTGTGATGGTCTGATAGTGTGGAATGATGCACCAATCGAAAGGTATCGCAAAAATTAAGAAAATTGCGTACCAAGACTTTAGAAATCTTTATTGAATTAGGGAGAAGAGCGGTGAAAGTCTAAAAGTGAAAATTTAGAAAGTTGGAGCTGTTGGGTCCGGTGTAAATATATGCTCCCAGGTACTAACCTAGATCTATTCCTACTAAGAATACACATCGAATGACACCTCATCTGTTTTAAAAGCAATGCTCAGTTCAAGAGTTATTTCAGAAACAAGACTGGCCCTTCGTTTGTGGGTTTGTATGAATCCCTTTTTGGTTTAAGGGTATTGGGGTCTTTTGTTTTACGACTTTTGAAAAAACCCTCTATTTTGGCGGAAAAGGCTTTTAAGGCTTATATTTTCTAAACAACTAATGCTACACATACATCTGACTATATAAATACACTTTCTAAAATGTTTTTATTCGGAACGCTAAAACAGAATATACCTTTGTATGCAAGAACCTTAAATATTTTGTTGAAGCGGGCAGAATGAAAACATTTTAGAAAGTGTAATTTATTTAGTCGGATATACAATCATTTATCGTAACAAAATTGTATATCAGAACTTTTGTGTGTTTAAGGTGCGATCGGCACGACCCCTTACCTCGTTTAGAGTTGTTTTTGTTGGATAAATCATATAGCAGCTGAAGGAAGGAACGTTAAATTAATTTAAAAACTTGAAAGGAAGTTAACTTTGACAAGCCGAAGTTTGTATACCCTTGCAGTTGATTGTTGCTAGCTTCAGTGACATTTGTCTAAAATTAAATTCGAAATGGTGAAAAGTTAAAATATTCTATATCCCAGAGTAAAAGAAAATACGATTTAAATCAACAAAGCACAATTTTTTTAAAAATATTTATTTCATTATTTGTCTGACTGTTTCTTTGGCAGCTATATGTTAGAGTCGTCCGATTTTGATAAAATTAAATTCGAAATTCAGAACTAGCTAAAAAATGTTATTTCCAATTGTAGGAGGTTATATGTTAAACAAGAAAGGAAATTAACTTTGGCAAGCCGAAGTTTGTATACTCCGTAGTTATAATTATTTAATTTAAAACAAGGAAGAACGCTATAGTCGAGTACCTCGACTATCAGATACCCGTTACTCAGCTAAATAGAGATATGCAAGTAGCAAAGCGAGATTAAAATGGGGCGTTATGGGCGTTAGAGTGGGCGTGGCAAATTTTTTTTTGGACCAATCGATGGGTATTGTCGAGACCAATACATTTCAGTTAAAATTTTTTATCTAGCATAAAAATTGTGGGCGTCACAGGTTTTCGCGGTTTGTGGGCGTTAGAGTGGGCGTGGCATACTCGCGTAACAAACTTGCGCTGCGTATAAAGCTACGGAATCTAAATCTGAAATCCCAATTCTCTATCTTTGATAGTTTCCGAGATATCCACGTTCATATTTACGATTTTTTGAAGTTTGTGGGCGGTTTATGGGCGTTAGGGTGGGCGTGGCAAACTTTTGGGTCAATCGATAGGTATTGATGAGAACATTACATTTCAGTTAAAATATTTATTCTAGCATCAAAACTGTAGGAGCCACAGTTTTGGGCGGTTTGTGGGCGGTAGAGTGGGCGTGGCACTCTACTGAAACAAACTTGCGCTGCGTAAGAAGCTCAGGAATCTGCACGCCAAATCTCAATAGCCTAGCTCTTATAGTTTCCGAGATCTCAGCGTTCATCCGGACGGACAGACAGACGGACATGGCTAGATCGACTCGGCTAGTGATCCTGATCAAGAATATCTATACCTTATGTGGTCGGAAACGCTTCCTTCTGCCTGTTACATACTTTCCGACGAATCTAGTATACCCTTTTACTCTACGAGTAACGGGTATAAAAACAAAAAATTATATTCCCAATAGTATAAGATAATATGTCAAAAAACACCGAGGTTATAATTTGTTTCATATAATTTTCCCACCAATTTTCCGATCGTTCCTATAGCAGCTGTATGATATAGTTGTCCGATTTTGATAAAATTTAATCATCATAACTAGACGAGGCGATCCAGCCATGTCCGTCTGTCCTTCCGTTTTTACGCAAACTAGTCTCTCAGTTTTAGAGCTATCGGTCTGAAACTTTCCCAAAAGCCTTATTTCTTTTGCAGGTAGTATATAAGTCGGAACCAGCCAGATCGGCCAACTACATCTTATAGCTCCCAAAGGAATAATAATAATTTTCGCTGCGCAGGAAGCCCAAGAATCTGCATGCCAAGTCCCAACACTCTAGCTCTTATAGTTTCCGAGACCTCAGCGTTCATACGAACAGACGGTCATGGCTGGATCGACTCGGCTAGTGATCCTGATCAAGGATATACATATATACATTATGGGGTCGGAAACGCTTCCTTCTACCTGTTACATACTTTCCTACGAATCTATTATGCCCTTTTTCTCTACGAGTAACGGGAATAATATTATAAAATCCTTCACATTTCGTTTTCGGTAAAATGTTAATTAATTATCTTAAAATCCGAAAGCTCTGTATATACATTGCTCCTATAGAAATGACATTCAAGGGTATATTTGCTCTTATTCCATTAGCAATACCCATATCCCTACAACAAAAAATTAATTACTGATCCTAGATCTTGATCTCTTAGGAGAAGAGAAAACTTGGCGTTTTCTATGTTTTAGCCAGGGACCGTAATTTTTATGATGTCAGAAAAAATAGTTCAATATAACTATTATTTTTCAGCTTTTATTATAAAAAATTAAAAAATAAGTCTTATTTATCAACTTTAATAATAAAAATTGAAAATCAGTCTGTGATTTTTATTATAAAAAACAAGGAAGAACGCTATAGTCGAGTACCTCGACTATCAGATACCCGTTACTCAAAGGGAAATGGAGATATGCAAGCACCAAAGCGAGATTAAAATGCGCCACCTACCGGCGGTAGACAGATTTAAGCGTTATGGGCGTTAGAGTGGGCGTGGCAAATTTATGTTTGGATCAATCGATAGGTATTGACGACACCAATACATTTCAGTTAAAATTTTTTCTCTAGCATCACAGGTTTTCGCGGTTTGTGGGCGTTTAAGTGGGCGTGGCAAACTTTTTTTTAGGTCAATCGATAGGTATTGGTGAGAGCAACACATTTCAGTTAAAATTTTCTATCTAGAATCGAAACTGTAGGAGTTACAGTTTTGGACGGTTTGTGGGCGTTAGAGTGGGCGTGGCAGTCTACTGAAACAAACTTGCGCTGCGTAAGAAGCTCAGGAATCTGTACGCCAAATCTCAATAGCCTAGCTCCCATAGCTTCCGAGATCTCAGCGTTCATCCGGACGAACAGACAGACGGACAGACGGACAGACGGACATGGCTAGATCGACTCGGCTAGTGATCCTGATCAAGAATATATATACTTTATGGGGTCGGAAACGCTTCTTTCTGCCTGTTACATACTTTCCGACGAATCTAGTATACCCTTTTACTCTACGAGTAACGGGTATAAAAATAAGCCTTATTCTCAAATTGAAAATACAAATTTAATGCCGCGAATTCCTCTCGTTCTTAAGAAATCGCGATAAATATAAAACCAAGCGTTATACTAGATTCGTCGGAAAGCACGTAGCCGATAGAAGGAGGCGTTTCCGGCCCTATAAAGTATATATATTCTTGATCAGGATCACTATCCGAGTCGATCTAGCCATGTTCGTCTGTCCGTATGAACGCTGAAATCTCGGAAACTATAAAAGCTAGAAAGTTGAGATTTGGCATGTAGATTCTTGAGCTTCTTACGCAGCGCAAATTTGTTTCAACAGGGTGTCACGCCCACAAGCGCCCATAACCCTATAACCCGTCTAGCACTCACAGTTTTAAAATTTAAATCAGGTTTTTCTTTGGTTATTAATGGCACTCATTAAAAAGTTATAAGCAAGCAAGGTGTGCAATATTAGGAACAGACGCTTTGCTACTTGTATATCTATAGCTCCCTCTCACTCCCTGAGTGCTACAGTACACTAAACTAAGCTCCCATACATAATGGCCGCGTTCATACATGCATGACAACATGATACTTGATCACTGATGGAATCTTTACGATAGTGCTGCTGAACACACAGGATTACTAGTCATGATGAAAAAAATACTGTATCATGATTAGGAAAAAAGGAGCGTAAAAATGGTGCGCTGCATCGCTACTGGCCCGTGTAATGATTAAAATATCGATAAGAATTAACTATTATTAAAAAACCATGAAGTAGGTAAAATTCTTTACAACAGTTTGGCCTTTTTATTTTTACTTGCCCACGATTGCTACAGTTGCGCTGCCAATCGATATCACTTTTACCAAACCAATGTTAATAAAACAAAAACAACTGCTTATAAAGTTATTGTCAAAATCTTACACTAGGAACAATTTAAAAATACTTTTCAAGTGCATAGTGGAGCTTTTCAGGTGAAGTGTTAAACTTTTTTGACGTCCTTATGTACCATGAGCGTTCAGCAGAACAAACTTGATCACTGATACAGCAGTAACCAGAAATCATGTTGTTCTGCTGAACACGGCCAATGAGACGTTGCCTAGTGAAATTGATTACAAGAGTAATGGGTATCTGATAC